AAAGAATGCGGGAAGATTTTAGTAAATTTATAATTGTCAATGAATTGTCATTTAGACAATAAAAAATGAAGAATTAGAATATTCGTTAAAACAACTTTACAACTACTACAACATTAATAAAATAAAATAAAATAAAATAAAACAAAACAAAACAAAACCCCTAAAATTTAGCTAAAAGGACAATTAAGCCTTTGAACTTTAAAAAAGAGCAATTAAACACTTAAACTAACTTGTCAAAATGAGTCAATAAAACCCATGAACCGGTAAATGACCTGTTATAACAGGTCATTTTAATTTCGACTAAAAAATCCGGCGACCAGCGACTTCCGCCAGTCGCCATCTACGGAGGAAGGCGACCAGCTGGTTGCCTTCCCCTGAAGAAGGCGACCAGTCTGGTCGCCTTCTTCGGGGAAGACGACCAGAAAGGTCGCCTCTCCAGTTGAGAAGGCGATCGGACTGGTCGCATCTCTAGTGGAGAAGGCAACCAACGGTGTAGTTGGATATGGTAAGTCCGCCGGTGCTGTTGCGCAGACGGTGGCGGTGTTGACCAACGGTGTAGTCGAATAAGGTAACGACGGCGTATGTGTTGATGTTCAAGGTAATGATGACAGTGAGTTTTTAATGATGTAGTAATATGTATTCTGTGATAAATTAAAAATGATAGGATAATTTTGGATTATGATGAGCAATTGGTTCAGAATTGTGTAGATGATGATGAACAATTATGTTTACAAGTGAATAACAAAACCTGCAAATGAAAAATGAGAGGGACATTGAATGCAAAGCACACCATGAAGTCTCTGGGCTGCTTTGGCTTCTTCAGATTGTCTCATAGTCCTCACACTGAAACCACTATATCCTCTCTGTGTCTCTCTATAACAAAGTTCTAGAAAAATTTCTTTTCGAAGCTTTGCAATCTGAAGGATGCAACTAAATCATAATTTACACCAACTACGAGCCGCAACATCTTTTTACATTAGAAAGAGCCATCTTATTTTTTTAATATATGTAATTAAATACTGAATATAAATAAATAAATGAATAAATAAATAAGGAATAAAAACATCACTACATTGTTTTTATTTTATTAGTAAGTATGTTAATATTTACGATTTATTATATATGTTAATATTTAAGTAACATTGGAGAGTGTTTTTTTAGTTAAATTGATTGATTTGATTTGTTGCATTGTGATGGTTTAATTTCAATATGTTAGAGATACTCAAACCTTCTAATGTAAATAAAATAACTCTTCAATTAGTTTACAATAATTAAACAAATACAGTTTACAAATAAAAGTGTGTACATTTATTCCAATGTGAAGTCATTGAAAACATCAGTATATTATTTTTATTTTATTATTAAGTATATTATTATTTATAATTTATTATATAGGTTAATATTTAAGTAACATTACTTAACATAAGTTATATCTGTGCATTAAACGGGTACAATACTAGTACTAGTTTAAATAATAACCAGATAGATAACAGATGAATTTAGCATTTGACACCACTCAAATGGAGAGAAAGAGAGAGAACTAAGTTGGATAAGAATCCAAAAATAGTCCGAAGATATTATACACCAAAATAAATCATTTTTCCTTTGAATATAATGAATTCGAATATTATTTTTCTCTTTACTTCATTTTCCTTTGATAACAAAATACTGAATAATTCCAAAATTCCTAGAAACTTTATAGAAGAAAAAGGAAAGAATGAAGGCAACCAACACCTACGCTGGACCATATATATTATGCCTATATCTATTATGTAGCAACCTAGAACATGCATTAATTAATGGCTATACGCAAGGCAGCGAATAGAACACCAGACGTCTTTACTTTCTACAGTCACTTTTGCACAACTACAGCGCGTAGTATAATTATCAAACAAGGAAATTAATAGCCCGCATAGGCAAGTGAAGTTTGAGAAGTTAGAATGATTAGGGATCGGAGTCTTATTAACGGTAGTATTGGAATCCCTTTTAAAGTGAGGGGATCTTAACTGATTGGTTCAATTAAATTATCATAATTTTTATCTTTTCAAATGTTTTGATTGGGGATTCAACCTTTTGGGAAGAATAAACCAGGAAATTAATTCCTTGGTTCCCTTCCAACTCAGTCAATGCGGCAGTCACTTTTTACAAGACAAGCTAGCTAGGTTTCATATACGTGTTTAATTTGCATGGACACTCTAAGTGGCAACCTTCTTCCCAACACTGAATAATTCCTAGAAACTTTATAGAAAAAAAGGAAAGAATGAAGGCAACCAACACCTATGTTGGACCATATATATTATGCCTATATCTAAGGGCAAATTATGCTGTGCATCCGTATGCACCATGCATGGTGCATACGGATGCAAAAACGACGTCGTTTTAACAAAATGCGCGTCTCCTCTTTAAAAAAAAAAATCAGGTTCGATTCCCAGCAACAACATATGAACTAAAATTTCATAATCGATGAACTAAAATTCCATAATCGATGAACTATAATTCCATAATCTAATCTATGAACTAATGGTACCCGGGTTGGACTTCTATTTGAAAGGTTATGAGTTCGAGCCTCGGTGGAGGCGTTATTGGTTCTTTGTGTTTCAGTAGGTTGAGAAAGTATATGAACAGATACTACAATGTAATAGGGCCAGTAACATTCAAAAAAAAAAAAAAAACTAAAATTTCAGAATCAATGAACTATAATTCCATAATCTATGAACTAAAATTCCAGAATGAATGAACAATATAATGTTGTTGCTGGGAATCGAACCTGAATTTTTTTAAAGGGGAGACGCGCGTTTTTTAATAAAACGACGTCGTTTTGGCATCCGTATGCACCATGCATGGTGCATACGGATGCACAGCATAACTATCCATATCTAAGTATGTTAGCATGCTCGGATTTTGGGCTGTGCAAGCTAGGTTACAGCATATGTCCTAAATTTTAGAAGCTCAATATTTTATTTTTACTTAGTTTAGAAATAAAAATTAATAATTTGCAATTAAATTTAAAAGGTTTTATGAAAAAATGGTGGGACCATGTGTTTATTGTATTTTAACTTTGAGGTCTAAGGTTCAAAACTTGTGCACATTATTATAATTGTAACATTTTATCACCTTATTATTATTACTAGTATTTTAACTTGTGCGTGTCATCTACCATGTATTGTGATGACATCCTGGTTATCCATCCAAGTGGATGGGCAAAGGTTCGATCCTCGATGGTGGGAAAGTATAAGAATCACAAGTATTTCAAAAAAAAAAATAAAAAAAATTGTATATTATATAGTGCAATTGATGAAATTGGTTGTATCGATTATATTTTTTAATGTTATCTTTGCTTGAATTCGAGCAAATAATTGCCCAATTATCCGTGCAATGCACGGATAAATTTTTTTATTATATATTTAGATAATAAAATTGTTAGTATTTCTTTAATCCTTTCAAAATTTGTTAAATATTTATTCAAATACGTGAATACGTATCAATGCAGAACACTACTGAAATTTTTCGTATGAACAAAAACGGACATGGGGGACTGTTTCTACATTAGAGATAAACGGTCTCCCCGAATATGCTTTTCCTAGATTGATATCCGATTAGAATAGTATAGATTAGAAAAAATTAGGATATTAATTTTAAAGATTTTAATTTTAGTTGGGCCTTATTTATTTACCCGAACAGGGCCACAAAATTCTAAAAACCTGCTCCGGTATGTTAGCAACCTAGAACATGCATTAATTAATGGCTATATGCAAGGCAGCGAATAGAACACCAGACGTTTACATCTTTACTTTCTACCGTCACTTTTGCACAACTACAGCGCGTACTATAATTATGAAACAAGGAAATTAATAGTCCAGGCAGCTCAACTAGTTATAGGGGTGAAATTTGAAAAGAATGAATAAGAATCGAGTTTCATCAGTAATGGTTCAGAAATTTAACTTTTTCAGGAAGAATGAATAACAAGGAAATTAATTCCTTGGTTCCCTCCAACTAAGTCAATGCGGCGCAAAAGGTCAGTTTTTACAAGACCTTAGGGGCGCTTAAATCTATTTCCTACCTAATTCCAAAGACTATAAAATTTCTTGGCTTGGTTGGAAAGAATTGCAATTCCTCTATTTTCATAGAATTAAAATTCTATAATCTCATGTCCGATCCCCTTGGGCTTTTAATTCTTTGAATTTTAGAAAGAAAAAAAAAATAGTGATGAGACAAAATTATCCCTCTCTTTTTTAAACCTAAAATTAATATCACAACAACAATGGGCATTTTGAACTTTGTACTACTTACAGGGCGTTTGGTTGGAAAGGGGAATTATGTGGGAAAGAAATTGTAATTCCATGGGAGTTGAATTACTGGGAATAAAGTGGAAATTTAAATTCCAGTGTTTGGTTGATATGAATAGAATTACTGGGAATTTCAATTCCAATGTTTGGTATACATGGGAATTGAAAGAGAATAAGTAGTATAAAGTCAAAAATGTCCATTATTGTTGTTAGACATTAATTTTAGGTTAAAACAGGAAGGGGTAATTTTGACTCATCACTATCTTTTTTTTCCCAGGAATTAAAATCCGGGGGGGGGGGGGGGGGGGGGGGGGGGGGGGGTAGACATGGGATTTTAATTCCATGAAAATAGGGGAATTGCAATTCCCTCCAACCAAACTGCGGAATTTAATGGCCTTTGGAATTATGTGGGAAGTGAATTTCAAATCCCTCCAACCAAACGCCCTGTTATTCCCTTTCAATTCCCATGTATACTAAATATTGGAATTGAAATTTTCAGTAATTCTATCCCTGTAAACCAAACATTGGAATTTAAATTTCCACTTTATTATCAGTAATTCATCTAACATGAACTTTCAATTCCTTTCCCAAGTAATTTCTCCTCTCCAACCAAACGCCCGGTAAAGGAAGCTCGCTAGGTTTCATATACATGTTTAATTTGCATGGACACTCCAAGTGGCAACCTTCTTCCCAGCCATGCTATAAATTCTCCCATCGCCTCCCTCACCTTCTCGCATTCAACTCACCATCCAATCTGCATCTCATCTGCTTCATATTGCTTCTTCCAAAACTGTAAGCTAGCTTAGCTAAGTTCTCACTATTCAACCATATATGCATAATGCCCATATTCATTCTTAGTTTGTGCCATTCCAACATAACCTTATTGCAACCCATGCATTTTGGTTCATAAGTAATATTTTTAAAATTCCATTTTATTTCTACTAGCCAACTCGATCGATCTATGTTTAATTAATTTTTAGCCTTGTGTTAGCAGGAAATAGTTCGGAGAAGTCAGGTTAGCTTGTTCACAATGAATGGCATGAAGAAGACTACCTACCTAGTTTTGGTTTTTGCCCTCTTTGGTATATATTCTTTATTAGTTTATTTCACTTTTTTTTTTTTTTTTTTTTTTTTTGTCTCCACCAATGTGCATTATATATATATAATATATATATTGTAATTCTTTCTTGAGGGTAAACCTTTAATTTGCTCTAATTACCTTCTACACTATATCAATTGCTAGCTAGTAGGCACTTAAACCATGCCAACATTTTAAATACTTTTGCTCAGTGGTAAATCACTAGTTTATATCCTTTAACAAAAACAATAATATAAAAAAATATCTGTATAGGTAAACATTAAACTCCTACGATACTAAGAGGCGAGAACAAAATGACTTTATCAAGTACAAATTATAATCACACTAATATTATGTATTATGGTCTAGAACTTTACCAAATAAATATTACACACTTCTTCCAACTCATTTTATGTTAGTTTCTTCTTTATGTTTATGTTGATGGGTATATATATAAATTAATTATTTACTATTTAATTTTTGTTGTCGCGGAGGTTCAAACGTTAATCTTTTATCTCAAATACTGCCTATTGAATTGAACTAATAAACCCGTTCGGGCAACAATTTACAGCTCTATATTTTAATAACTCTTTTTTTTTTTTGATGAATAAAAAATAATAATAAAAGTAAAAAAAAAAAAAAAAAAAAAGCTATGAAATTAATGCAAAACTATGGAGTAGTAGAATTCAAAATGCATGTGTAAATTGGTGAGTATTATAAGTGAGCTTTGACGAATTGTAATTGGGATGCAGTTATTGAGGAGGGCATTTGTCTGCATGCATGGGGAGGGGTTAATGAAGATGTTGAAGGAGGTGAAGAACAAGTCACCACTCCCAAAGAAAATTACCATATTTCCACCCTCTCTCGGAAGTTGCTAGCCTTTCCTGGTAACTTATCACCTCACCATTATTTATTTTCTTTCTTTCTTTCCCATCAAAATTTACACAAAACCAAACAAACCATATATATGCCCACATTTAATAAGTCGAATATAATGTTTAATGAATATAAGTAACATATTTTTTATTCATTATTCAGGTTATAATAACAATACAGGATCCGATTTGGTACCAGGCACGGACCCAGGTTTCGGTTTTGGATCGGGCTCGAACATGGGTTCGGGTTCAAGTATGGGCTCAAACACGGATTTGGTCCCGGATGCAAACCCAGATCCGAGATTCAATTTTGGGTCGGGCCCGAACATGGGTTCAGGTTCGAGTACAGATTTGGTTCTGGACGCAAACCCGATATCAGGTACGGGTACGGGGTCGAGTTTTACAATCGGGCCAGGGGGACCAGGGTGCTCAACGTTGGACATATTAGTTGACCAATTCGCATCGGGCACGCTGTGGAATGGGATTCCCACCTACACAGTTATCATCACCAATACCTGCTTCGCCGGCAGCAACGGCACCGGGAGCTGCACCTTTTCCGACATCCACCTCAGCTGCGGTTGGTTCAGCTCTTACATCCTCGTCAACCCCGATGTGTTTCACAGGATAGCGTACAACGATTGCCTCCTCAAGAACGGCGGCAATCTCAACCCCAAAGAAGCCGTCTCCTTCGTGTATGCTGACAGCTTTCCATACCCGCTCTCTGTCACATCTGCTACCTGTTAAATTATATATTCAACCACGGATATGATGTAGTAGTGAATGCATTACGCATATATCTAATGTATTCATTACTTCTTATGTCCTAAAGTGATAATATGACGATACTCCCTTTATTATCTTTATGGTGTGAGTGTATCCTTTAATTTGATTCCTTTGAATAGGCCACCTATGCTCCGAAGAGTTAATCACTTCGATTAATTCCGAAAGATTGTTTACTTTTCCGAAAGGCTCTTGTGATGGGTGATTCAACATTTAAGGGAAAAAGAACACCAATGTTATAGGTTGAATGCTCGGGCAATTTCAGCAGAAATACGATACGTGTCAAGTTTCTATTCACCTCGTTTCAATTTCATGAACAGAAGACTGATTTGACATTTATTCTTGTCCAGTGAAAACACTGACATTGGAAACAGATAACGAAGCTAGTGATTTTGTCAACTCCTCTTCCCTTAGAGCATCCACAATGGTTAGGGAGAATTAGGGGATAATGTAAGAGTGATTAGGAGAGAGAATGTGAGAAGGGAGGAAAAAAAAAATAAAAAACAAAAAACAAAAAACAAAAAGAAAAAATAAAAAAAAAAATTAAAAAAGAAGAAGGGCGAACGGCGCGACTGACGCGCAGCCGGGCGCGTGCACTGCACGCGCCCGGCTGTGGACTTGCTGTGCGCCAAACGCGCACAGCAAGTCAGATCTGCTTTCTCTCTTTTTTTTCTTGGTTTTCGCAATATTTCTACCATTGCAGATGAATTCTCCTTGAATTAATTCTCCCCTACATTAGCTTTGCTCCCCACTAAGAAGAATGAATTCTGAAATCTTCCCATAGAACAAATTACACTTTGGGTCCTGTGAGTATTAGGGTACTGGCAATTTGAGTACAGGACTTTCAAAACTCTCAATTTAAACCTTTATCTATTCATTTTTTGGCAGTTTTGGTCCTCCGGACCAAATTGCCGGCCAAAATTGGCTGGAAAATTATTTAATCGTTCGAATTGTTTTTGGGTGAGGGTAAAAACGTCATTTGTTATTGTATTTATTTGGGGACCACCTCGTGTTGGGCTAAAAAACGGTCACCAGAGGGAGATTGTCTTCGACGGCTGCTCGACGGTTTCCTCGACGGCGTATTTATTACTCCACCTTCCGACCGGTTTCCTCGACGGCGTCTGCACTCCTGCTCGACCTCCTCCGCTTGCAATCAATGGCTAATTCGTATTCATCATCTTCTTCTTCTAATCATGGCAACGAGTTTTATGAATTTGGGGAAAGGTTTCCAATTGTCCATTGTAGGTGTGGTGAGCAACTGAAGATACGCACTTCATGGACAGCTGAGAACCCAGGTCGTAGATTTTGGCAATGCGTGGGTGGTAATGTAAGTTAATTACTTTTGAAAGTCTAATTTTTGTGTATACCTACGAAATGCTCAATTTGGGTTTTTTTTTTTTTTTGTGTTGTTTAAATTAGTTTCAAACCCTAATTTATGAACATCAAATTTCTAGATATTTTCTGTTTTAGGAATTACTTTAATCACAGTTTTGTTTTGCATTTTGTTTATTATTGCAGAGGAAGGTGGGATGTGGTTTTATTGATTGGTATGATACTCCAATGTGCTATCATTCAAAGCGAATAATTCCAGGATTGCTAAAACGCATCAACCGACAAGATGAAGAGATACGAAAATTGAATTCGAAACTTAGAAGTGAACAAGGTTTGAAGTCCATGAACAAGGTGTTAGTAGTCTTGATTGTGTTATTTGTAGCAGTAGTTGGTAGTAGGGTTTGGTAATGTATGTAGTTTGGTTGGTTTTGGAAATGTATGAATTGTGGTTGGTTTTGTTCATGTATGAATTGTGGTTGGTTTTGGTCATTAAGGAATTAGTCTTGGTTTTTGGATATATATGTTACTGAATGAATTCCAGGCTTTTGGTCCTGCATTACCATTCATGTATGAATTGTGGTTGGATATGTATGTTGGACAAACTTATGGAAATCACATGCTGCATTACCATTCACAAAAAAGCAGTGTACATTGATTAGTTTGATACAAAACAGCTAACACAACAAAAACACAGTTTAAACAAAACAACAAAAACCATTAAGACCTTAACTTATCCATCATGTTTCAAAACACAATCATAAGGCAACCTAACAAGCACCTAGTTGGCAATCACTCAAGGTCAATTGGTTCACCCTTATTTCCAAAGAACTTGGATTTGAAGGTGGTCTTGCTCCTGGTATAATAGGGTTTTTTCCTATTGGAGGGCCTCAATTTCCTTTTGCCCTTACTGTCCTTGGATTGGCTTTGGTCCTGCTCATCTAGCTGCTGTGCTGCTGGTAGGTCATCTAGCTCCTGCTGCTGCTGGTCACCAGAGGGAAAGTGGTCTTCTGTCTCAGCTACACCCTCATGAGGCTGGTTGTGCCCTGAAGGAAGGTGGATGGGGATTTGTCTTGCACTATAGATGAATCTTTTTTTTGGCTTCAACTGGGAAAAAACAAAGAAACATGATAAGTAAACTCAGGCATAATACACCAAAACTAGGAAATGTAGTTGAATATCTAATGAGAGGCCACAAAGTAAACCTTTTTATTTGGATTTGTAGGACATTTCCTTGCATTGTGGCCAGGTTTCCTGCACAGTCCACAATGTAACTGAATGTGTTGTCTGGACACATACTTTCCATCTATTGTCAATTCAGCAGCTGACCTTGCCCTTTGCTTTTTGGGCCTCCCAACCTGCAAATCAATTTAGTCAAGATAAAGTGAATAGAATAAGAACACATTAATGACTAGGCAAAGCATATATACCTTGGCAGTATACAAAGGAGGCAATGGTGGGGTTCTGTCACATTGTGGCCAATCATCTGGACCTGTCATAGGGTTGATACAACCACCATATACCTTCAAGTAGGTCTCTTTGGAGTAGCAGGGATGGACATAGTCAGTAACTGAACCCTTTCCATGCTTTTTCCATATAGCACAAATGGCATGTTTGCATGGAATGCCAGTTAGGTCCCAAACCCTACAGGAACACTTTTTTGCTTCCAGATCAACCTCTTGTTGATCCCCATATAAATGGCTTACTTCAAACTTATGGAAATCACATTGTGTTGCATGGTATGTTGATGCATCCTTCTCAATTTTCTTAAGCTTTCTCACAATTGCAGGACATAGCAAGGCTTTCCACTCTGCAGCTTTTTGTCTTTTCTCAAAGAACTTGCCCATCAACATTTTCCTTAGTATTTCAAGACATTCAATAATGGGTTTGTCCCTTGCATCCCTTATAGATCCATTCCATGACTCACAGATGTTATTAACCAACATGTCACAATGAGACTGTGTAGAAAAGTGAGATCTAGACCACTCTGTTGGACTCTTATCACCAAGCCATTGGTATGCATCTTCATCTAAGCCCCTAAGTTTACTTAATTCAACATTGAATGCATTCAAAGTGGTTGCCCTAGCACAAGCCCACAGGCAGTCCTTAAGGGCCTTTCCTTGGAAACCTGCCACCTTCATATTTGCATGAAGGTGCCTCACACAGAATCTATTCTCCACACCAGGTAGCTCACTCTCAAATGCAGGAATCAACCCTTTCTGTTTATCACTAATGAAGCAATATTCATCCTCAACACCTCTAGTTATTTCCAAATCAGTTTTCAGAAGTTGTAGAAACCATGTCCAAGATTCCTTTTTCTCCCCTTCCACAATAGCATATGCTAGTGGAAATATACTATCATTGCCATCAATACTAACAGCTGTTAGTAGCATCCCACCAGTTTCAGTTCTAAGGTGACACCCATCTAAACCTATTATTCTTCTACAGTGCTTGAATCCTTGCTTGCTAGCTTCCCAACACACATACATTCTCAAAAACCTGGAATTGCCACTTTCATCAGTTAGGTCACTGAGTTTTACAGGACAGGTTGTCTTGGGGTTTGTTCTTTCTATTTCTGCCTTATAACTCCATATCTTCTTAAAGGTATCTTCCACTTTACCTTGCCTTAGCTTCTTTGCCTTCCAAATAGCCCTATAGGCCTGTGAATTGCTAACATAAAAACCCTCCTGACTGCACACCTTATCCTTGAACTTCCTCATCATCCAATCAGGATGGTCTTGCAATTCAGTTAACCACCTTTTAGCCACCACAGAAGACTTAACCATACCATTTTCCCATACCCAACTACAGCCTTCATGTTCATCTGTCATATTCAAAATCCTCCATGTCATTGAACCAAGTACTTTCCTCAACCCTATTCTCCAAGGACACCCCTCCTGTGTACATTTAACAATTACCCTCTCCTTGTCATTTTTCAGAGTTTTAATCTCTTTGCCATTATTGAAAGCATAATTTTGCACAGCCTCTCTAAACTGTTGTTTAGATGCAAAAGTCATTCCTAACCTAAACTGTGGGTCCTTCATGTCTGTTGCAGCTCTAAATATAGGCCACTTACCCTCAACATCACTATCAGAATCAACAATTGACTCCTCATCTGAAAACTTAATTTCCACCTCATCATTGGTCTTAACTTTTTTTGTTTTCCTATTTTCCACAAAAGCATCATCCACAGCTCTAGCTTCTGCATTTGCAGCCTTCTGCTTTTCTGCCACCTTCTGCTGTTCTGCAACCTGCTCTTCTACCTTCAAACACTCTACCTCAATTGCATTTTCCCAATCACTTTCTGTCTCCAGTACTTCCATATCAGCATCAACCAAGTCCACCTCATCCATTGTTTCAACCTAAAACTCCAACATATTGCCTGGGTTGTCCTCATTCAATATTGTTATTACATCCATGTCAGATTGCAGCAACTTCAAACCATCATTGGAAAGGCAGTATATTAGTGCTCCTACTTCACTATACCCTAAATTTTTAATCATATCCTTCAACATTTGTAAACAAATTTCCCTAGCTTCCATTCTGTCATAAACCTCTACATCACCACCCATATATTTAACCTCACCTACCCTATTTATTACTCCATTATGGAAAAGGCAAACAGAAAAAGGACCAACTCCATCCCCTGTAAAGAAACCATTTACACATACAATAGTCAACATACTGGACCCCACAGACCACAAAGCAATAAAGGTATACAGAAATTGCTCCAACTCCCAGTTTATGCACATGGAATCTTGACAAAAGTATTAGTATAGTGGTGGTGCCCACACAACACAACACAACACAACACAACACAATAATACTTGCAGAAACTTAGTGGTGGTCCCCGCAGAACAAAACAACACTACATAACCCTATTCTATGCATATATAAAGCCCAGGACAAAACCCTAGATATGCAGAAACTTGCATTCAACTCCACACACACAAAAAATAGGCAACCCAAACAACAAATACGCTCAGACACTTTCAATTTCTTCACATTTAAACTCCGAAAAAAAAATTTCTTACGTAGTTGTAGACCCATTCCAGTCGCAGATGATGAAGCTCGCCCTCTCCAAACCCAGAAGATGATGTCCACAATCGAAGCTCCAGACCACTTCACACAATCGCTGCTCCAGTAGTGGAAGATGAAGTTCTTTGGATTTTCCCCCCAAATTCGTTGCTTTCCCCCCAAATTGCAAGTGGTGTTGTTGACTAAAAGACCGGAAGGTGTTTTCCCCCCAAATACAATAACAAATGACGTTTTTACCCTCACCCAAAAACAATTCGAACGATTAAATAATTTTCCGGCCAATTTTGGCCGGCAATTTGGTCCGGAGGACCAAAACTGCCAAAAAATGAATAGATAAAGGTTTAAATTGAGAGTTTTGAAAGTCCTGTACTCAAATTGCCAGTACCCTAATACTCACAGGACCCAAAGTGTAATTTGTTCCTTCCCATATTATCCACAAGTGTGGATGCTCTTAGTACTGGCCGGGGTCGGGGTCTAGCATAGTACCCGTTGACACAAAACATGCCATTCTCTTCAATTCAGTTGTCGTAGCTCCCAACTACTTCATTTTTTTTTTTTATTTTCAATCTACGTGAATAGCAAAGAGAGAAAGAATTGACTAACTTAGCAAGTGGAGAGAGAAGCAATGCGGCAGCTTTTGCTGTCAACCATTTCAACTTTTTTTTATTATTATTTATTTTAATATTATCTTATTATTATATTTATAATATAATATAAAAGTGTGATCCATTTTTTAGAGTGAGAGAGATTTGTAGGAATATAGAATAAATAGTAGAGAATTTATAAATTTGATTATGTAAAAGTGAGACTCATTTTAAAAAGTGAAAAATATTTACAGAAATAAAAATAGCTTAAGTTTTTAAGGCATATCCAATGAAGGAGATTAAATAGAGAGAAGAGATAAAATAATTGAAGGGGAGCAAATTATATTCTCCAAAAAAAAAAAAAAATTCTCTAAGGAGAATATGATTTGAGCATTTATGATGCTGAGTCACATGTCCCCCACTTCACTTACCATTTATTATTAAATAAATAGTGAAGGGGTATTTAAAACCCATAACAGTGTTTTAAAAACTTATCAATCAAATAATATCAATCACTTTGATACTCATTCCTTAGAGCATCCTTATCAGTTGGGGTTATTAGGGGAGAATGTAAGAGTGAGTAGGAAAGAGAATAATGTGGGAGGGGAGGGAAAAAAAAAATCAAAACTGATTTTATTAAAAAAATATATATAAAAAATAAGCATGTCATTTCTCTATTGGTTCTTTATCCTTCATCATTAATTATTTTTCTTGGGCAGAGTAATATCCCAACATTTGCAGATGCTCCCCACCCCTTCTCTCTCTTGATTCTCTCTCTGCCACCATGACATTTTGGCCTCAAAAGTAGTGAATTCTTCCCTATTTCTCCTCTGATGTAGATGCTCTTAGAGGTAAACATGTCAACCAAACACACCTTTAAATACACCTTAATGACTATTTATTAGCCGTTGAGGGTGTATTAATATTTTTTTAAAATAATTTTATCATTATATATATCACATTAAAATGCTGAGATTCATCAATTCAAAATCTACAATCTTAACCTTTCATTTTTATTCAAATCTACAATTTCGTA